GTAATCATTTTCATTTTGTGCTAATATGACCAAATGAAAAATGTAATCAGAGCAGACATTTCACTGTTTTCAGAAAAATGGAGTTGATTCACAGGCTTAATAAGATGGCATATTTTGTTGTAGGTATTGTAGTTGGTTCCTGTGCTGCTCTTTAAGGTAGACAAAGTGTAAAACTCTAAGCAAAGAGGACAGCTGAATAGAATACCTTCCTATGCCAGCCCTGTGATTACTAACAGTAACCGAGGGCCTCAAGGGCAGCATGACCCTCAAACAAATGGCCAGTTGGTGCCAAGCAAGCTGACTCACACTTGTCCACCAGAACCATCAAACTCCTTTTAAAATACATAGCACAAGTTCCACTCAGCCTAGGGTAGAATGGGGAAGTTCTGATACATATTCTTAAAAGGAAAGACAACTCCAAAGGGGGAGAAACTCTATTTCTTTCTTGTTCGACTTGCAAAATATGAACAAAGTGAAACACAAAGTCACGTCTACCTGACCAAATTGCCTAACATTGTTCGTCAGACCCTGCTTCCACAAAAGGCAATGACAGGGCTGGAAAACAGAAAATATCCTTGTACCCTTGCTGTTAGGGAGCTTCAAGGAGGAAGAGGGTGGAAAAGATGATGTTTCCCCTTGGATTATTTGTCCACAATGTCTGTATGTATTAAAGGTAAATGAGCACTACCTGCAATTTTTAAAAGTCAATAAAATGAGTTTTAAAGAGAAAATAAATGACCATATGTGTGACACTGAATGAGTAAAGGACACTGCAGGGAAATAAGGTCTCTGGGAGAATGAGAGCCATTTGTGGAACCTAGAAATTGAGTCCCTTTCTTGTCCCAAGCAAGGACACTCACACCTAGCAAACAGTGAGACAACAAGGTAAGATTCAGAAACAAAAAGATATTCCAGTGTTTATGAATGCTCCCTGAAATTGAAGCTGACTGGTTGTTTGTATATGTCACACTGTTTGGGACATAAGTATATGATGGCTTATGAATGAATGAATATGCTGTTAGAAGATACCTCAAATGTTACAGGCCCTTATCTCATAGGGACAACACCTCAAGCAATGAATCCCCTAAAGGGCCAAAGCAAGATGATCTGAGACATGCCATATCTTGTTCAGGATTCCTGCAGCCACCGTGAAGCTGTTCAGGTTCTGTATTCATGGCTAAATAATCAAAAAGAAAATCTAAATGTGAGTGTGGGAGAAATTGCTTCAGCCAATCCATTAGACATAAACCCACCTATAAATCCACAAAACCTTTCCCACATTCCTGCATGTTATACCTAAAAGATGAGTTACACCTTGAACATTCTATTCCAGGTAGACTTCATCATTTACAGAGAAAGACTGGCAATATGGTCATTATAACCCATTCCAGAGAGAACATCTGGTCTTTAGATTCATAAATTCAAAGGAAGAGGAAGGTAAGGAAGGAAAGCAGGGAGTGAAAAAGAGTAAGAGGAAAGATCCTTGAGAATTCCTTATAAATTGCTGAACAGAAAAATATTTTCAAGCTACAAACTCTCACAATCCATGATGGGGTAGTTGGGGAAAGAAATCTTGATGAACTTTCCAGTCTAAGATACCACAGTAAACGTGTGTTTCAATAATTAATCAAAGGTAGAGAGATGAGCCAGCAACATCAGAGGTCTGATGAATGTGTGGACACTAACTTGGAGGTTGGTACCATGATGCTTCTTTGGTTCTGAGACCTGCCGTGTCTACAAGGTCTGTAGCTGGTTGCTTTGGTATAAAAAAAGCTACATCAATTTTCAAACCTCGGGTTAGTGTGACTCATATGCTAACAAAACCCATCTATAGAAGAAACCACTTCCATCGATAGTTCTTAATGATTTCATTGCTTAGTTCACAATTCAAAATACGGGGTATGCTTGCAACTGCAAAAAATGCATTTTGCACTCCAAGTGTTGTTTAATTTATGGTAAAGAAGCATCTTTAAATTACCATACTCAATTGGGTAAACCTGTACTTAAGAAACCTAGAGAACATCTCTGATAGGTAAATACAGAGCAATAAGGCTCATCATTACATGTTATCCAACATGAAAATCAGTAAGAGCAATTAATCCATAAATTAATGAAATCCACATAGAAACCAGAAGCTAACCCTTCAAAGCTTCATGAACTTAGTCTGCACGATGACCATGTGTTGAGGAATAAGTGGTATGAGTTTCCAACATCTGACATGAATTCCAACTAGTCCTCAGTTGCCCAGATGTGAAAACTATTTAAACATGTTTCATAAAGCTTCATATTTTAAGTACAACTCTGCCAAAAGGATTAACCTGAAAACACTAATTTAGCTTTTCAAATCAGTAATTCAACCTGCTGATAGTAGAATGTTGATAACAAGAGCAGGGGGGATATTAAACTATGGTCTTTCTTCTTTCAAGATTGTACAAAGCAGTTAGGAAATACAGAGATTTAACAGGGATTCTCCAGCGCATGCTGACAGGTCAAGTTGTACATACCTACTTCCAAGGAGAAGCAGGTATATTCTGCTTTAGCAATTTAAACCGTTAAAAATTAAATGAAGAATCTACTCAGGCTACACTATAAGAAAATATTTATACATTATGATCTAATCATGATCCATTCAGTATACTTGGAATAAATCATTTTTTGAAAATGTACATTTATGGAAAAAAGGTCTTAGGTTAAGTAAATGAACTGTTTTTGCAATTAACAATTTACTTCATAAAATTATTTTTATAATTTAAAAACTATAAAAGGGAAAATAAAAGACCACATTTTTCTTAGGCATATTTCTATAATAAATACTTCATAATATTTTCATACACAAAACTGTTAAAAATATGTAAATATGTTCATAAAGTTCTAAGTCTTAAGCATCTGAAACAATCCTTTATAATACTCTCTTTACAAATTTTATCTGAATTTCTTAGAATAATAATTCAGATAAATGAAATCCTATGTTTTTATTTGGTCCTTCATGTAAGGTCACTAGAAGTAGTCTAAATAGCTATCAAACCTATCCAAACTGTTGTGCTAACAACTCTTCCTTTTCATTTATACAACACACTTCACTAGTTTATATAACTGAATTATACAAATGTAAAAGTTAAATAGAGAGGAAATCTATTCAGCATGAGATATAAATTTATTAATTACCCATTTCTGGTCAGATTGTCTTTCAGTTTTAATCATTTAGTTGTGCTTTAACTGTGGACATTTTCCTGGTATTCCTAAACTGGGAGTTGCAACTCAATCTACTGCTACCAGGGCACAGCAACATGAAAGAAAAAAAGAGGTATATTATTGAAATTATTTAACATAGATTCTAATTTTAAATAAAAAATGAAATACTTTAGCATTTCAAAATTATGTCAATTTTTAAAATATGAAAATGATGTCTTAACACATTTTTATTTGGGTAATTTCTCTACCATTAAACACAGCTCCCCTAATAGAAAATTTGATTTCAATTTAATATAAAATGAAACATAACCTTTAAGTTGGCTATAAGGTACTATTAGCTCAAATTCATGTCATTTCCTCTAAAATTTGCTCGCAAGCTTAAAAGTGATGAATAAAATTGACATACCTTTTCATATCTCACTATTATTTAATTTATACAAGCTTAAATAAAGTTTAAATAAAACAACTATGACTTGAGGAACATGAAACAATTTAAATCTATAAAAACTTAAAACAGTGACTGTCAGTTTTCAGCCAAGCAAAACAAAAAGATCCATATATAATCTATTCTAGAGCAAAAACCTTCCTTTTACTTGACAGGGGATTAGGCAGGGGTAAACGAGCCATTAAATGCCCCAATATCCAGAATTTCAAGTGATCATATTAGAGTAAAATTTTATGCTAAACCATTTGATTTGCTTTTGCCCTTCAGTGAGCTTCTCCATCAGAGTTTGATTATTGTGTCACAACATTTTAAAAGTCTTTGTAAATAAAAAATAACTGACTTTAAAGTTGTTTTTAAAGAATCTCTTTCCGACTTCCTGGTAAAGATTAAATATTGCTTCCTGATTATAACACATCATCCCTCTGCTTGCTTTAATAGTAAACTTTATAATAGTAGCAATTGTTTCTTCTTTTCTGAGCACACAAATGAATGCAAAGACCAACAATGAATCACTGGCGTGTAAAGTTCCCATTGTTTAATGAACAGTAAGACTTGGTAGCTTTAGAATGAATCAATTAGGTGAATGGGAGAGATAATTAAAAAGTAAGGACATTCTCCTACTTTCTTTGAATCAACTTTATTTAAGAATTGAAATGTTTATCATTATACAAGGAAAATCTCCCTATGTGATGTGGAAGACACATATATGAGATGGAATTTTATCCTTAGATTTGTTACAACTTTCCTTAGTAATTAGGAAGCTATATGTCCCAGATAGAATGATGCTAACAAGCTCCTGCAGTTTCTACTCTAGCAAGAAATCAAAGAGACTCAAAGCAGACAACTAACTTCAGTAAAAGGATTATTCAGTCTGGTTATTAAAGCACAAAAAATTTGTCTAAAATTTTTCAACTGATGAGATTTTCTTAAAGTCAGATTCCACATCCAACATGATTTACTAACTAAATAAGAAAATAAAGTGTGGCTATAGGACGTAGTTAAGAAAAAATTTACAGAAGTTATAAGAGGAGGCCTGTTTCAGGTAACTTTTATGTTTTGAAACTTTCTACCCCTAAAAGATGAAAAGATGTCATTGTAACAAACACCTATTTCTACCTGGGATTTTTCATGGAACACTGACACACTCCCACTATTTACGGAGGGTTACTATTACATTTCCAGTTAGTTTGCATCCTTCTTTTAAAGTATAAAGCCATGTAGGAATCAGTAGAGTTGGTGCTAACAAATATGATTCTGATGGACGAATATAAGCAATATAAATTCACATTCTGAAAAAGAAAACATCTGGAAAATGGAAAAAGGAAGAGGGCTCAGTCCAACCACAAGAGCAACACTCACATACCTTAAGGACTTCCATTGGCACCTGGGTGGCAGAGGGCAGGGTGGTGGGCACACTGACGTTTATGGCTGGTGTCTGACTCACGGGCACTCTCTGTTGCATGAACTGGGCCGCTTGCAGCTTCTGCTGCTGCTCCCTGCGCTCTTGCTCCTGCATCTGCTCACGCATGAGTTGCTGGCGTAGCAAGATGCGTGATGTCATACTGGAGGAGCTTATCGGAGGCTTGGAGGCCCCAGGATGTTCCGCGGATCTGCAGTGGGAAAACCAAAATGCACACAACATTTAGTTTCCTAATGAGACCCTTCGTTTGCATTCTGGGGTATCCTAAATGGCAACAAACTATGAAATGAGTCTGCACAAATATAATCAAGTCGCAGAACGGTACTCCACATAATTGAAAATCAAGAGGTGACAGGATTTTAGTCATTAGTAGTTGAATTAAAATAAGTCAGCTTGATTGCACCCAGGCATTTTTATCAAGCCACTTACATGGGGTTTTTTTTGACATTTTATACGGCACACTAGTCATCGCCACCAAATATAGCGCCGCCATATGCAGTGTTGAGAAGCCATGAGTCTTAATGGCACGCAAATTTAAAAATAAATTGCCTGATTTGCTTTTTGAAATAACTGACTCTAACCAAACAAGGACTCCTACATATTATCTAAATTCCTTGAAGATCTCTAAACTATTTGCCAGCAAAGAATTAAATAATAGGTGAGCTTTATCATGGGGAAATGTTTCTAAGACATGGGAAGTAAAAATCATTAATGAAAGAAGCATCTGGACCAAAATGTTAACACTGAACTCGACCCCAGTCCTAGGGCAAGGAGGCAGAAAACAGCCACGTCTGACAACACAGCTCTTCTACTTTTCTTTCCACCACCTTTTCATCTGACTTATCTTGGGATGACCATGACTATGGAGCACTCTGCACATTCCAATGAGGCTCACTTATAATGTTAGGACTTCTACTCGAAATTATTTTAAATGTTTAAACACTAGTCAGAAATTAAGCATAAAAGACTTTATAATTTTCCTAAGTTATGTTTTTTGGTTGCTTATCTTGCCAACTCTAGGATGCCAACTACTTAAACTTCGCTCTGCCTTAGTTACCATACTCGGAAAAGAAGTATGACAACAGTTTGGTACTCACTTGTCCATTTATAAAAGAGAAGTGTGTTTTTATACTTTTAGTACATCATTTGTGCTTTAAAGGCCTCCTGTGGGAACTTTGTGAGGATTAAATAAAACAGTGCACATAAATCTCATACAATGAGTATCGTGTAACATTACTTCAGTAAATGTTTACTGTTGCTATTATTATCTAAAAATTTTCGTTAATTTATTTCTCACAATATAATATTTAAATCTCTGTTTAAGCTAAATAATATAAAACCTTAGCATCTGAAAACACATAAAAGGGAACATTTGAGAAAACACTGTCTCTAGACAGGCTTCAAAGGAAGTATCTGATTTTCCTCCCTTTTGAGGCCAGACCCCAGCACTGTTTAACTTCTCACCAGGAAAACTAAAGCCTTGAAGTCAATGGCCATCCCTATAAACTCCTTAAGTACAGGACCCTGCAGATTCTGCAGATGACAGGATGTGCTACAGGATGAAAATGTGTTTGTTTTGTTCTCACATGGCCCCAGAAAAGTCATATAGTAAAATTATACTAGCAGTTTACTTATTTTCACCACAGGAAATTGGTCCAGAAAACTGTAATGGGTTTACATAATTTGTTTAAAAATGGGGCAAGAAATATATTTATTGATATGAAGAGAGCTATAAAATACAATAAATTTTGAAAATACAGATGCAAAATAGCACCCTGGGTAAGACCAATGCCTTAAAAAAATGTTCATTAAAAGACAAAGAATAATGATAATGTCACTCTAGGCCAGTAGTGGTGGACTGATGGCACAAGTGCCACAGTGGGCTGTTTATATCATTGAAAGCTCTACAAGCTTAGTCATCACTGCCTAGGCCATTGGTGGTAAACATTATAATCCTTTAGGAAACAACCTAATGTTATCAAAAAAGCTATAAAATTGTTCATTCAATTGGATTCAGAAATTTCACCGATAGATAATTTTCCTAAGTAAATAATTCAAATGTGGAAAAACTGACATTACAAAACTCTTTACAAACTGCAAAATATTCGGAATCACCTAAAATTTCTCCTTAAATTTTAAGAATGGTTAAGTAAACTATAACACATGAATTCAGTAAGATACTACATGTTTTTAAAAATTGCACAACTACAGAATAAAGTAGGAAATGCATGCAAGAAGAGTAAGTTATGAAGTAGAACACAAAAATGTATGGACAAGGGCTAGGGATTTAGCTCAGTGGTTTCGCCGCCTGCCTTGCTCAAGGACCTGAGTTCGATCCCTGGTACCAAAAAAAAGTATGGACATTCTGGTTTAAAATAGGTATGGTGTGTATATACACACAAACATAAAATGACTAGCAGGGAATGAGTAGCAGTGATCACAGTTGCCAGAGTGGAAGTAGAATTACAGGTAAATTTACTTCCTTCACTTCTTCTCCTCTACACTATGAAGCCATAATACTTTTTGAGTAGCACACTCATTTACCATTTGGCTAGAAGAAAGGAGGAAACCACACTGGTTCTCCATGAAGTAGTCAGCGTCCTAAGAAGGTTAATGCTTCTCTCTTTCATTGTCCCTCCTATTACACCCAGAGAAACTGAAATATTAATACCTTGCCTGCCGTTTTAATATGTGCACTTATCCACACAATGAGAATATTTCCTAGCCATTACTGTAGTCTTTTAAAACAATCTATTCACTGCATATGGCTCTACTAAAAGAGCATCAGAAGAAAATGTATTTTCCCATTTTTGAGTATGTGTTCAAAGCTCAAATGTACTTTCCTAAACTGGAGGTGGGGGGAGCTACTTAAAATAAATAAATGAGTAGTCTTACTATTCAAAGCCTGTCAGGTCCAAACATTCCTGAGGAGACTGATCCTTTTGATAAAAACAGGAGCAAACCTTTGTGCAGTAGCAAATGCAGCTGTGGAATAATCGCACTAATTAGCTGCATAAGACAAGTCATTGGCTGTGATACTGTGGGGAAAATCCTTTCAATTAACAGTAAAGCATTCCAGAGACAAATTAAAATTACTAGTTATCAACTACACTAAGGTTTCATACTTGAAAGTCAACAATACCATTTGGCATTTTCTGAAGTCTATCTGGGAAAAAAAGATACATACACAGCTTCAGGTACAAATAAATTGAGACCCTACTAAAAAATATAGCAAATATATTTTCACATTTATATAAATATAATGAAGTTCAGCTAATTGACAATTTTTAACAAATCTTCCCAAAAAAGTGCAAAGAAAGCATCCGAGTCACCTCACTGCACAGATACACACCCTGCAGGGTTTTTCTACATTGTGAAAGATGACTCTCAGATTCTTAGCTTTCCTCTCTATCTTTTAAATATCCCTTCCCTTAGAAATAATTGAATCTGCAATTTTCACCTTGTAGAAAAAAAAAATGAAGGCATCTATACTTTGCTACCTTAGGAGAACAAATGAACCCAGTGTTTTAAACTCAAAATTGAGGCTTATGTGAGAATATTCCAGGTGCCTGTTAAGCTTATTTTTAAAACATGAAAACCTGATGCTGAAGCCAATAATGAATGCAAGGAGAGAGGTCCAAATGCATTTAATTTTAAAAGTGAACTGAACTCATCCCAGGCCCATAAATCTCAACCCTGGGTAGATAATCCTAATTCCATGAGTCTGATTCCTTTTAATCAGATTATGTAAAGGTCATTTATGCAACAAACAGTTACTGCCAGGTGCTGGGAATACCTGGCTTCTAATCTCATTGTCTAAAGCCATGATTCCAATTCATTTTTCAAGACACCCTGAAATTAAGTAAATTATCTAGATAATTGGAATCGGATCCAGTTTTGCATGGGAAGGTGTACATCTCACCCTCAGAAATGAAAGAAAATAGGCAATGTCCTTCCTGGCACATCCCCAAATCACTGCAGCCAGATACACAACTCCCCTGACATCGGGAACTGGTCCATGTAGTCTCAAGGAGGGAGGTCATCAACGGGACTTGTGTTCTAAAGTGATCACTATAGAGCAGCCTGGTCTTTCATAAGCCACTTAACCTCTCTGGGGTTTGGACAACCCATCTCCTAAATGTACTGCAGGAACTGGGTGAGCTAACTTTGGCTAAAGTGCTCGACACAGTGGCTAGAGTACAATGGATGCATAAGAGGTGGCCACTAAATGTGACCCTAATTCCAAACTCTACTGCTAAATTTATTTATTTATTTATTTATTTATTTATTTATTTATTTATTTATATTTAATTGGGGGGGCTACTGGGGATTGAACTCAGGACCTTGCACTTGCAAAGCAGGCAGTAGAACCACTGAGCTAAATCCCTGGTCCTGAATTTATGTTTTTAAATGTCAAGCTCCCTCCTCTGTGATATAGGTATATCACACAGGTGCTCTGAATAATAATTATTATTATTCCTAAATCCAAATATTTTACTCCATTGCCTCCATCAGCCACTTAAATACAGTACTGTATATCAGAAATTCTAGTTAGTTCAATACTCCAGCATTCTGTTAATGTCTGCTTGGCCACCCCTTACTTTTGACAGTGATACCAATACCCCTTTATTAGACCATATAAATCAGTCTTTGGTCTCCATATCATAATCCTCCAAGGCAGGAATCCAGTAAGTTAAAACCCAAAGAGGCTGAAGGAACTTATTAAACTTTTCCCTGTTTCCTTTCTTCGACTCCGTAGGCAAAACATAGTTCTGCCACATACTAACCTGCAACTGTGACTGAGTTAGTAAATCTCTATACACTTAGGTTTCCCTTGTTTAGAAAGAGTCCCAGTATTGCAGTAAAGACTGAAATTTGAAAGTGATATGAAAAGCTTAATGTAATGACAGGAAACAGTAAGAAAAATTTCCACAAACATGCTACTTCTTGATACAAGAAATATTTTCAAGTCTGAGAAAAATTCGGGATCATAAGAGATATGTTATATAAAGTTCAGGCAGTCCCAGTTCAATTCTGAGAACTTAACAAACTTTTGCAGAGATAGAGAGAAGACAATTTAAGCTGCAATTCTCTAATGACCCATTAAGAAAATTAGTCCTTTCCTGCAATAAAAAAACCCCCAGCCATTATAGTCATCCATTTGATAGAGTTCCCAGCCTAGCTAGTGTT